CAAAAACACTAATGACAGTCTATGTTCAAGAGGATGTGGAGCAAGGGGAACACTCCTCCACTGTTGGTAGGAATGCAAACTTGTACAACCACTGTGGAAATCAGTATGGCAGTTTCTCAGAAAATTGGTAATTGATCTTCCTCAAGACCTAGCCATACCACTCTTAGATATATACCCAAGGAATGCTCAATCATACCACAAAGATACATGCTCAACTATGTTCATAGCAACATTATTCATAATAGCCAGAAACTAGAAACAACCTAGATGCCCGTCAATTGAAGAATGGATTAAGAAAATGTGGTAGAAGCAGACGCAGGTAGGCCTGTGGCAGCGGCCCGCGGAGGTGGTTGGGTCCAGCGGCAGCGGCCGACAGGGACATTTAGGCCGGCGGTAGCCAGCCGAGACATTCAGGCCCGGCGGCGGCCCACAGAGGTGGACAGGCCCTGCTGCAGAGATAAGCAGACCGAGGTGGATGGGCCCGGCGGCGGCGGCCGACAGAGACATTCAGGCCCAGCGGCGGCGGCCCACAGAGGTAGACAGGCCACTGGGAAGAAACGGGCGGACGCAGGTGGGTCCGCAGCAGAGACTCGCAAAGGTGGACGGGCCCGGTGGCAGTGGCCGACAGGGACATACAGGCCCTGCGGCAGCCGGCAGAGACGTGCACGCCTGGTGGCAGTTCGCAGAGGTGGATGGGCCCGGCAGCAGTGACAGGCAGGGGTAGGTAGGCCCGCGGTGGCAGCCGGCAGAGACATACAGGCCCGTTGGTTGCCCGCAGAGGCAGACGGACCCAGCGGCGGCTGACAGGGACATACAAGCCCTGCGGCGGAGACAAGTGGACCTAGGTGGGCCTGTGGCGGCGGGCCGCAGGGGTGGACAGGCCCAGGGACGGAGAGGGGCGGACGCAGCTTGGAGCAGGGACGCCCCTGGCCCCAACACCTGGGGAGGAGGTTGTCTCCGTGGGTCAGAACCAGGGCGAGTCTGGGCACTCCATCTGGGGACAACCCAGGGCCCAACTGCTGATCCTGTGAAACCCAACAACTTGGAGGTGTTGGTGAGACTACCCTGCTCAGCTGAAACCCATCTGGGAGAGGATTCAGATGCCTACAGTTTGA